GCTCGCGGGGAACAGGCTCTCTATTATTACAACCACACAGCACCACCGTTTCCCCAGCGTCACAATGTCGCCAGTTGTGGTAGGCTGGTTATCACCGCTGTGACAATTTCCAGGGGTAATAAGTGCAGTGGTTTTAACTTGCAATTGACATTCAAATTTTGCAATTGACAAGACCTGCCAACACAGACATAAATCATGTGACGGTGGTATCATTAATGATTGATATGATCAGAAAATGCCCTTTTGCTTGTTGCAGCCTAATCGGCGAAAATGTGTTCAAGGGTCGTACACCTTCTCTATCTGTCTGCAATCTGTTGACAGTCTGTTTTAGAGCCTGGAAAGTCAGGTCGAGTTAGTCTGAGAGTTTGATGCACATAGTGTCATACATACTACTCACACTTTGCTAAGGATCACAAAAATTCTCAACTTTACTTAAACATAGATTTATAATTTGAAATTGTATCCATTTAAAACTAGATAAATAATGATATGGTAACCCCTCTTGAGGCAAACAGCCACTTTAATCTAACCTTATGCACTTGATACATGTGTAGCCATAAAAATGGTTTTCATGGCACCAATCAACCATTTTGCAAATCATGGAACGATTCATTGACAAGTACACAACACCTGTCAATAGCAGGTATGGGATCCACAAGATGAAGTGACATACTGAAAACTTGGATCCAAGCTTAGATATTTAAACCAAATTAGACCCCATATCATAGTGTTCTGTTGAATCAATGATTTGATCCTAAGCAAAGTGTGAATAGTATACTTTGGAATATAATTTATGGGAGGGAGGAATGTTGTCATGTTTATATTCGGTCAATGGGATGATATTTAGACTCTTTAAACATTTCACGGTGTTTTCCTTTGAGGTGAGATCCTCAAAGACCAAAGACTTATAAATACATATCTTCCAAAGGACATATTTAAATATATGAAAATAAATCCCAAAAGAATTTCGCTAAAGACAAGGATGATCGGTCAAGTCTAGATTTCATCAGTTCTAATACTAATTGTTCTGGGTTACTTTTGGATTTTATTTCTGTTTGGTGGTACATATTTACTTTTAATTAAGTTGAACTAAATTTCAGGGACTAAATGTGAGTCTAATGGGAGCCTAGCAAGAGGTTATGCAGATCTTGTTGGGTACATTAAGTAAAAGCCACGAGCACGGGTATGGTGCTCACAAAGGTGGGAAAGATAATCAGGACCAATATGGGATTCAAACTCACGTTCATAGCTTTCTGGCGTCCGGTGTCTTCGGGACGTAATTTTACGGAGTCTGCCGTACAGGTCACCTCATGTGATACGAAATCAACGAACAGCGGATCCTAGCAGGACTAACGAGTGAGTGAGGGAGTTTAGTTTTTTGCCGCTTTTAGCAACATTCCAGAATATCACGGCGGGGCACACCAGAATTGTTCTTCACACATTGTACTCATGTCGGGAATCGAACCCGGGTCTTAAAACACTAGGTCTACCCTAAAGTGGTGGCGCGTGGTCCTGTGCTCAAAGCTCAGGTCACAAATCGGTGAAGTTAAGCAGCGTCGAGCTCGGAGAGTCCTTGGATGGGTGACCGTGTTTGGCAGCTTGACTCCTGAGAGTTTCTAGGACTTGAGTCCTGACCCATAACGAAGCACATGTGACACATGTGGTCTCACCTTAGGCAAGTGAGTTTGTTCAAAATTGTCTCTGTTCACCCAGCAGGAAAAGGGGTACCCGGTGGAAAAAGTGATATGACTATAACCTTCTAGCGCCTAACAGGCAGCTTGGGTTATCCGGGGTAATAATGTGCTGTGCCTTGATTGTTAGCGCTATGAGCATACCTAGTGTGGAGTTTGGCGCTATATAAATGGACACATTATTATTATTTATTATTACCGTCCCCCAAGCAGGACTAGCGCATGGACCGATGCTCACGCTATCAATCACTGGATTGTCTGGCCCACATTCGATTACTTAGTGACCATGGTCATAAAGATACAATGTACATAGAGATAACATTACATTATTTGTTTCTTATCTCGTTTAACACTACATCTGTGTAAATGCGGTTGTATGTATGCTGCAAGTTCTCGTTCAAATCAACCACCTGGAGCTCGGCATTAATGGGTACAACAAGGACTGGTCGGCTCGGAGTCAGTATAATGTGCCTGAGTGGGGTATTCATGCTTCACTGCGGCATGGTATCTCAGTTGGCTAGCACTATACAACCAGCTTAAGTCTGGGCTAGTACAAGCAGCCGCACATACACATACACACGCATGCACGTCGTCATATGAACGAAATATTCTCAAGCACGACGTAAAACCCAATTTCACCTCACCTCACCTCAAATCAGCCACATACTAGTACAAGGTGATTACACGCACTTTCACTTGTAGCTCCATGTCAGTGGAGATAGCCCGACTTTGTGCTAATGGCGCATCTATGTAGTTCATTGAGTGGTGTGTTGTGTCCGTAATTAGATGGTGCTGCTAAATATACCAAGAATCCGTGTATAATTGCTTGAGTAATGCCAGTGTTATATCTGCTGTATATCATCGTGTGAGTAGTACCGCGGTATCTGGTGTATATCATCGTGTGAGTAGTACCTGGTGAGCGGTATCTGGTGTATATCGTTAACTCTGTGAGGTTGTGTGCGCGAAGAACTTTATCTGGTCGTGTTTGTGTCGTTGATGAAGATTATTAACAAAGCGTATTTCCTTGTCGTTAATATTTTATGTTAGGAAAAATGTATTCCATGCCAGTCTCTATCGTATATAATGCCATTCTTAATACCCAACGTATTTACTCAACGAAGTAACTTTGGACATATTAATACTGTTTCATAAACCGCCCATTCGTCATATAGAGCCAATCTGATTAGCCATATTTGTCTACTGAAACACATACAAACAGAGTCCTCTAGTTGGTATTGCCGTGAAGATCCGGGTTGGAAGTGATCTTCAGTACCCCATGCTTGTTGTAAGAGGCGACTAACGGGATCGGGTGGTCAGGCACGCTGACTTCGTTGACACATGTCATCGTATCCCGATTGCGCAGATCGATGCTCATGCTGTTGATCACTGGATTGTCTGATCCAGACTCGATTACTTACAGACTGCTACCATATAACTGGAATATTGCTGAGTGCGGCGTAAAACTAAACTCACTCACACTTCTGTTTGGTAAATCAAATAATAGGTACATTGATTCGCTAAGCTTAAAAGTTAGTAATTCCAGTTTTAAGACCACATTTGCATGTCAATCGTGATACTATGTTTATCAATTATCGGATCGGTTTCTTGTATCAGTAACACCGTGCATTATCTGATACGATTTATTGTGCATCACATTTAAACGTGGCTTTAATGAGATATGTTTTACCCATGAACACATTAAATATTAATAATTGCAATACAGCTGAATGACGTTCAATGTGAATTATTCATCGGTGCTCGGATGACAGCTAGTGTGGTCAGAAAGGTGTACAACTACTAACGCGTTCTAAAGCAATATGATTCATTCCTTCGAATAAAGGATCTGATCAATATTATGTTTCATGATTAACACTGTCCCGCATCATTTAGTTCACATATTAGAAATACAATTTGAGAGGCGGGGTGACATTCACATAATTCTGTTTTGACAATTGTCCAGCACAGGCATTCGTAGCGATTAAAAGTTCATTTTGAAATTGCTAACCCCAAGCAAATATTTTATTGTCCTCAAATCGTTATACTGTTTATTATGTCATGGCTTGTCAGCTTAAAGGTAATCATTGAGCGCTCATTCCAATGGCTGCGCAACCCAAAACGAGGCTTATATGGCAGTGGTATTTATTGTGTTATTTGAGGTTTTTTCACACAAAAGTCTCACTTGTGACGTGTGCCGAAGGGAGCCCATTGTGGCGTATTTTTTTTTCACACAATAGTCTCACCTGTGACGAGCCCATTGTGGCGTATTTTTGCCACGTGTTACTTCAGATCTTCCGACCGCCTCCGTGGTGTAGTGGTTAGAGCGTCCGCCCGGAGAGCGGAAGTCGCGGGTTCGATCCCAAACCGCGTCATACCAAAAGACGTTAAAATATGGTACTTGTTGGTCCCTGCCTGGCGCTCGGCATTAATTGGTACAACAAGGACTGGTCGGCTCGGAGTAGGTATACTGTGTCTGAGTGGGGTATTCCTGCTTCACTGCGGCATGGTATCTCAGTGGGCTAACACTATAAAACCAGCTTCAGTCTGGGCTAGTACAAGCAGCCGCACATACACATACACACGCATGCACGTCGTCATATGAGCGAAAGATTCTCAAGTACGACGTTAAACCCAATTTCACCTCACCTCACCTCAGATTTCCCACCCCTTGGGCATCGCCCAGTTGTTTCCTTTAATATGGTGTGGTGACGACAGAGTGTCATATTAGGAGCAAATCTTGGCAGAGTTTCGAAAAAGTCAAACAAGGACTATGCTCTGATGCCTTATAATGCTCTTCCAAAGGCATATATACTACTCACACTTTGCTAAGGATCACAAAAATTCACAACTTTACTTAAACGTAATTTGAAATTGTACCCATTTAAAAGTGGATAAATAATAATATGGTAACCCCTCTTTAGGCAAACAGCCACTTTAATCTAACCTTATGCACTTGATACATGAGTAGCCATAAAAATGGTTTTCATGGCACCAATAAACCATTTTGAAAATCATGGAACGAGTCATTGACAAGTATACAACACCTGTCTATAGCAGGTATGGGATCCACAAGATGCAATGACATACTGAACCCTAGCATCCATGTTTACAATAAGTTTAGATATTTAAACCAAATTTGACCCCACATGATTGTTTTCTGTTGAATCCATGATTTGATCTTTAGCAAAGTGCGAATAATATACATGTATCCACTCGCCCACCCACTTGTCCATCAACTCACCCTTTCACTCACTCACTCGTCCAACTATCAACCGAATTCGTGAATGGCGCACAAATCACACGTAAAATGTATCAGAGTAATAATCATATATTCATATTCTCATGGACGTGAAAAAAACATCTGAAGAAATATACATGTGAAATAACATAAATAACATGAAATGAGACACGGTGTGGTGTGAATGATATCTCTTTGGGAAATGCAATGAGCACTAGAGGTCATGAATTAGACATGCAATATGATCGAAATGATGTCAGATAGCCGTCAAATCCGTGTGGGATAAGTCTATTGTGTTTCCCTTTGAATCAAGACCATTGTCCAACATTCTGGTTTTAGTGTTGGGGAGCTTGTGCTCTTTCTTCCATTTCATTCTCCTATTCTGGAACCAGATTTTGATTTGTCTTTCGGATAAACACAGCGTGTGAGCGATCTCAATTCGTCTCCGCCTTGTCAGGTATCTGTTGAAATGGAATTCCTTCTCAAGTTCCAGGATTTGGTGGCGCGTGTAGGCAGTTCGGTTCCGTTTCGACTCTGGCATCAAAGACACTGTTCCCGAGCCTGAAATGAAATTGAAATCTTGAAAACACTTCATAAATATTTAATGTGCAATTCGACATGGTTCCGCACATTTTTCCCAGAAAGCTAGAAGGATTCTGAATTCCGGTTTTGCAGAAACTAAAATTAAGTCTGTGAAGTGGAAGAAAATTTGCTCTCTGTTATCCTTTAACCAAATGAAAAATATTTTCATTTCCGAAATAAAATGGAAAGGATTATTAATAATGTCCTCATTTTATGAGACTCTGAAACTGTTAGTGTGGAATTGCTTTGATTTTGTAACTACGTTTGTTTCAGTTGTTTGAAACTGTGTTAAATATTAAAAGTAACTTAAAAAATGTCTTTAGATATTACATGTTGCATAAGTAGTCTATCCCACGTCTGTGTTTATTTTACAATATAGGTGTGAATGTGTTTGTGAGCCACCAGGATCCACTTTATAACATATTGCCGATGTGACTTTAAATCTTAACTCACTTTATAACATCACTATTCGATAGTCATCAACACATACTTATGATATAGTCGGAATCGTACAATGGATTGTTCTTATAGCGGATATGTCGTTTGGTTATTGGAATCTCTTTTCGATAATATTTTTAAACCGAAATATAATTTTTATGTACTGAAAAACATTGATTTTTACACACAATGTTTGTCAACACCGTGCCAGTGTTGTGTACAGTGAAAGGTTTGTTTGTTTGTTTGTTTGTTGTTTAACGCCGCACTCAGCAATATTTCAACTATATGGCGGCGGTCTGTAAATAATCGAGTCTGGACCAGACAACCCAGTGATCAACAGCATGAGCATCAATCTACGCAACTGGGATACGATGACATGTGTCATCCAAGTCAGCGAGCCTGACCACCCGATCCCGTTAGTTGCCTCTTACGACAAACATGGGTTACTGAAGTCCCGGATCTTCACGGGTGTACAGTGAAATAAATAAATAATGAATTATTATATACAATTTGAGATTGATTAGTAAATAAAAAAATACATTTTTGGACACATTACAATAACTATCGACTTGTTTTGCTCATTCTATCGATCACTGACTTGTGTTTAAATACTAAATAACTTTATTGATTTATTAATAAACAGATTATCCTGGCAAAGATACTTTGACTTCATAAATCATATGATATAAAAATCATATTTATCAAAATGCAGCAGCTGATACAAATAAACATGTCATATAAAAACGGCTAAAATAAGACCTAATTTTTTACGATCTTGAATCAGAATAAAATCATAATTTCTTTACATAAATTTTAATATTTTATGTTCCGACGCGGCGTCATGTCGAGATTTCCTTTCTTTTGGAAAAAAAACTCAGTTCATCTGTGAAGCTATCAATGAAAGTGTTTATTACACTTGGCCCTCGTTCTGCGGTGACGTTGACAAACCCGGTGTTGACTAACTCTGACACCATCATTAAAACTGTCATACACACCCGTCACTCAAACTCCAAGTACATTTTAATAAAGAAACAATGAAAATATACTCTAATCTGTCTTCTTTTATGATGATTGTCTGCGTTGTGTCAAGTTAATGTTACTGTATGATGACATAGCTCTATTCGAGGCCATAGATCACAGTTAAACACTGGCGCGGAATAAAGCAACTACGTACTATGGGTAATGGTGGAGTTCTACACACAATTGCAATAATACAAACTGGTCCACCTTACGATGAAATGATTCAAGATCATACTTTTAATTTGTGTCAGTTGTGTGAAAAGTTTTTAGATGGTATTGAAACTGGCGGAGCAAAGTAGCGGTCGATTTCTGTAACGTTGCCCTATGGTATGGAATTACAACTGACGTAGCACTGAGATCGCTCTCTGTAACGTTGCCCTATTGTATGGAGTTACAACTGACGTAGCACTGAGATTGCTCTCTGTAACGTTGCCCTATTGTATGGAGTTACAACTGACGTAGCACTGAGATTGCTCTCTGTAACGTTGCCCTATTGTATGGAGTTACAACTGACGTAGCACTGAGATCGCTTTCTGTAACGTTGCCCTATTGTATGGAGTTACAACTGACGTAGCACTGAGATCGCTCTCTGTAACGTTGCCCTATTGTATGGAGTTACAACTGACGTAGCACTGAGATCGCTCTCTGTAACATTGCCCTATTGTAAGGAGTTACAACTGACGTAGCACTGAGATCGCTTTCTGTACCTATACCCTATAGTACAATGGCTCGGGGACAGTGGAGCTGTAAGTCCGCTTTCTGTGACAGATCCAGACTTGGCGATAGGATCGCTTTCTAGAAAGATGTGAGCTTCCCACTGAAGTACCTTAACAGCGCTTGACGAAAGTGCCTGTGTCGATATAATGTAGCGTGCTAAACACCACGTGTCGATAAACAATTTAGTTTATTGATTTCAACGCTAACGCTGACCAAGTGGTGAATTCCTGACTGTTAACAAAGAAGACCAGGGCTTGAGTTCCAACATGAGAACAACACGTGAAGCCCATTGATCGTGTCTACCGCTGTGATATTCCTGAACTATTGTTGAGAAAAGTGGAGAAACCATTATTCGCTATCTCACAATAACACCTCCGAAAACACCATTCACAAGTGATCAAATATACATAGTAAATACACTAATTGAAGCCTGTGTAACACGCTTAGTGTCTCCTTAGTGACTTTCCCACAGCTGTTATATCTGCTGGGTACCCGGTAGGATGCATATGAGATAAGTAATAGAGTTTCTGGGCTCCCAAGGGAGTTCAGAATACAATTCTAGGGCAAACTGACCAAGGTAAAATAATAAAGCAGCGCCATGTGCATTCATTTGGTGAATCTTGTTAGTTGGTATGTTGTTTAACGCCGCTCTCAGCAGTATTCCAGCTATATGGCAGCGGTCTGTAAATAATCGTGTCTGGACCAGACAACCCAGTGATCAACATCATGAGTTGGTGAATTGAAACGGGTGCATATATTATATTATATTGTATTGTATTGTATTATATTGTATTGTATTGTATTTATATTATTATATTTATTATATTATATTATATTATATTATATTATATTATATTATATTATATTATATTATATTATATTATATTATATTATATTATATTATATTATATTATATTATATTATATTATATTATATTCCCTACCTCATTTACTTCACATTAGGATGTTTGCCTCGCTGCGTCAATGACAATGCATATCTGTGACAGGTTTCAACGCTTGCCCATTGTTCTTGAGGCAGAATTCCTACACCTGCGGGCGTCTTATGCAAATCATCACATGCCAAGCAGATACATAGCTGTCTTCATAAATTTCACGTTCTGAATTTTATTTATGCAAATAAAAAAATTACTTAAATCGGAAATACGGAAACACTGGACTGCGCAACATGGGTGGCCACGGGGCTGGGGGTGTCGCTTTTCTTACGTGCGGTTCGCGTTTGAGCCCATCTTCCACCCTTTGGCGATACCCAATACATGTTAATACTGACTACCAGTGATGTAAACAGCTTGAATTCGCCCGACTTATCTTATGATCTAAAATCAAAATTAAAAATAATGAAGTTATTTATTAAAGTATGAAAAGTTTAATTAACGCAGGAAACATGCGCTGAATATTATAAACATATTTTGAAGTACTTATTGACATACTTGAATCTATGTATTCTATGCAAAGTATATTTATTATTATTATCATTATTATTATTATTATTATTATTATTATGCAATATAGCTGAATGTGGACAGTACTGTAAACGTCTGACTTTTATAGTTCGGAATCAATGTAGTTATTAAGTAATAAAAGAGACACTGATTCATTTAAAAAATACACACAAAAAACATTTGGCTTCGCGAAGTGAGAGCATCTTCTTGTGGCTGAACTCTATATCTACATTTTTGGAAATAATCATAGACGGGTCCTCCTAGTCTGTCGTACAGACCCTGAAGCAAATATATCCAAGAAAGCCCACACAAGTCTAGAAAATGTGGCAAGTCTAGATTTCCTCAGCTTCAGGGTCTGTACCAATCTGCTGAATTCACAAGCCAGAATATGGCTTGTAATTATCAGTTGATCTCTAGCTGTCACTAGTGTTTAATATTAACTCATGGGGAGCCTGAAAATGAAGAAAGTCTCAGGGCTCCTTTTCATTATATTTTTTTTTTACTATGAACTTTTTTCAGTAAAATATGTTCATTTCAGAGACTAGTTGTTAGTCTAGGGTCCTCCCAGTAAAGATGTATACTGACCGTCAGAAGTAAGTGTTCATTTTGGAATTGGATTTGACGAAAAATTTACTCGATACATCAAACTTGAGATATAGCTCACAATCATGACAGCTCACAACAACATCACTACCTTACCATCCTTGCTTTGTTTTCAGTAACCATCAAGCATGGCAGAATACCGTTTTATCGCTCGCACTTTATATCACATATACAAAACGTAACGGTAGAAATAAGGGGAAATAGAAACGATAGGCTGTGTATTCTTTTTATAAAACACAGTATAAAACAGTTTGTACTTGTTTGGAATATGTGTAATTCATGAACATATTTGCATATATGTCTAAATCTAACTTTCCAACAACACATAATGTCATTTCATTGTACAGAGCTGAAAATGGAATGTTAATGAATTGTCATAACGGGTATATCAAGCAATGATAATAAGTGAATTCCATTATGATGTAACATTTCCTCATTCATCATGATGGTGATTATGATGATGAGGATGATGAGGATGATTATGATGATGAGGATGATGATGATGGTTTTGTAACTTGGGCCTATGGTTCATATCACATGGTTGAGAAAGCATCCGATGTAGACAGCGCGTCATGAAGGAAAGAACTATACTCCTCATTAGAAGTTAAAGAACACGACTGCTATTTATGACACGACAGATTAACTGTAGTCGCAAGAAGAAATATGTAGTTCTTTAACTCTTGAGTAGAATACTTCTTTAATTATATAACTGCTATCCGCCATCAGTCACCCCTAAAGTGAC